GTTTCTTCAAGTTGACAGAGCTTTGGATAATTTGGGGTAAAATCAAACTTCAGGTAACCCTGTTTTTTATACCCACCCAATGTAAATTTTTTAAAGATTTATCGAATTGGGTCAAAAGAGTTAGAAAAGTGTAGAATGAAAAAGTTTTTCATTATGTATATCGTAATAATGGTATATTTTATTTACTTAGTTACATATTCATTATTCCTGTGAGACTAAGTGTTATTATAATTTAAAAAGTTAGAATGTTTTTTCATCACAAACCTCAAGAGTTTTAATTTTTTATTTTATTTTAAAGTTTCTATAAAAATATCGTGTAAAGGAATTTGAAAACTTGCAATGATGTTGTTCTTTAAACTATTTAAAATTATGTGTAAATAAGGCTATTTAGATTATTTACGATAATTTAGAGAGTGTTTCTGCAGGTTCTAGGATAAAACCAAAATCATAAGTGGAAACACTGGTTCCGTGGTAGTTCATGTGTATTTAAGAGATGGCGCTGATTTGTTCTATGCTTAAACCGTGTAAAAAATTTTGTACCCTCGACCATGTCTTGTTACTTATATCGATGCTAATTTCAATACAGAAGATTGATGGGTATTGCTACCTGCCTAGAATACTATAATTAATAAAGTTTAAACCCAAACCCAAGCACACCAATGTAATATTTCAAGATATCGTAAGCTCGCAAAAAATTTTGAAAATTATGACGATTTCGAGCTAAAAAGTAAAACATAAAATATCTATATACTGGATGAATATTTTTATCGTCTGGAAAAAAATAGGGTGTAACAAGTAAACGGAGTAGAAGCCTATGGTACTGATATTTTACAAAAAATAATAAAATTTTTGAATTACATAAATAAATAAATTAAAATCTATCGAAATTCAAATCATATCCACCCTACTTTAGGAATGAAACAATAAACTTTGTAGGCATCTTTGTCAATCAAATCTTTACATATACATAAGCAATAAAATTAAGACTGCTAAAAATAAAATTAAAATGACGGAGTTTAATTAATAGTGTAACTGGTAAACCTCGTAACTCAAACTATCAATAGAAAATTAATAACGAATTGACAAAATCAAATCAAGATGTTATTGTATCTTGCTAGCAACGCAAAGTCAAGAATTTGCATTTAGAAAAATAAACAAAATTATGGGCTTTTTAGGTGCTAATTAAGTTTAAAAATTACGTGCTCTAAAACTTTTACCGCAACGAACTGTTGAAATTTGCGTTGCTAGCAAACGTATCGCAAGATAACGTATCGTAGATAAATATTCATCATCATCATCATCATTACAGCCCTTCACAAGTCCCCCAAGTAAAATAAGATAAATATTAATAGCAAGCAATTAAGTGCTATTATATATGGAATTAAGTGACGAATCCGTGGCGCAGTGGCTTAGCAATGAGTGGTTGCGCTGGGGGCCGCGGGTTCGAATCCCGCACGGAACAAGTATGTGTATGGCCTACAAATAATTGTTCCGGATATGGATGTTTGTCCTTGTGCAATTTATGTTTGTAAACTGCCCTTATTAATCCATTGGGCTATGTCGGTCACTCTGGTTTTACTGCGGATATCCTCATTTCTGAGTCTATCACGCAGAGAAACTCCGAGCATAGCCCTCTCCATAGCTCGCTGAGCGACCTTGAGCGTCCTCATATGGCCAGCAGTGAAGGACCACGTCTCTGATCCGTAAGTCATCACTGGCAACACGCACTGGTTGTACACTTTAGTTTTCAGAGATTGAGGTGTACCTGACGAGAAGATGTGTCGTAATCTCTGTCTAAGTGACGACCTGGTAAGACATGCAGGAAGTCGATGGATGCAGGTGGCTCAGGACCGTGCTTTGTGGCATTGCTTGGGGGGAGGCCTATGTTCAGCAGTGGACTTGTGAAGGGCTGTAATGATGATGATGATGATGATGAAACTGCCCTGCCCTGTAGGGGTAAAGTTTAAAAAAAATTAGGCGCTGCAAGTATAGGCAGTGACAAGGCGCCCCTAATAAAGATAAAGTTGTTATTTAGAGCAGATGCAAAAATCAGGTTTTCGGAAAATCTACACAAAGTCAGGAATTTGCATTTAGAAAATGCCAAAATTGGGGGCTTTTAAGGTGCTAATTAGGTGTCCTGTTTAAAAATTAGGAGCTCTAAAATTTTCACCACAACGAACTATTCAAATTTGCGTTGCTGGCAAAACGTATCGTTAGCAACGCAGTGACGGTAATAGATGTACGATAAATATTAGTAGGAAGGAATTCAGTGCTGAGCGATTACCGAGACACGATGTAGATTAAGACTTATACGGGTAACGACCACCATTTCCTTACCATAAGTTGTGAATGGCATTTTTGTTCTTTATCAGTGCCTAAAAATTAAGTGCTGAAATATTATGGAGGTCGCATGTAGATGACGGTAACATTCTGGGAATCATATTCCACGACCACCATTACCTTACCATGAGGTGTAAACGACGTTTTTATTCTTTATGAGTGCCTAAAAATTAAGTGATAATTAAGTGCTGAAAGATTATAGAGGTCGAATGTAGATGACGGTAATACTCTGGGAACTATCGGTCCACCATTACCTTACGATAAGGTATGATAGACATTTTTTGTTCTCTATCAGATTTATTCAACCATAACATACATTATGCCGCCTTTGCATAAAATATAAGATACAGCTTTAATTTTATAGCAAATAAATGTTACAATCCTTATTTTTACACATGTACTGCCAAAATTTTAGTGTACTAAATTAAAAAAGATTTTCTTTCGAGTAAAATCGCTTTGTTAAATAAGCTAAATAGCTAATGATCTTTGTTAAATAAATTAAATAGCATCATCTACGTCCTTCTATTGTTCTAGTCATTTTATCGAACCGAAATCGATGGATTCTCAAGGTCGTATGTATAATAAACACTAGGTTGTATGTTCATTTTGTTTGTAGGTCACACACAAAAATTAAAAATAAGGATTAAGAAAAGAAATAATTTTCTGGATATTAAAATTAATGTAGATAATGTCTTACTTTACCTACAAATTTATGTTTAAATGATAAAAAGTAATCATACCGTACAAAATAACAAAAAAATATGTTAATGCGAAATATATTAATAGCACAGTTATGCGAGAATTAACTTAAGCTAAAATATTTTAACACGCGCTTAAACAACAATTGAAAGCTTTGCTCAAACATAGGTACTTAAAAATAATAAAATTCGTAAAAAGTAGTTTTATTCGTGCATTAAAGTGCAAATTATACCGATAATTAATAGGTGTTTTTCGATATTTTAATATCGATAAAAGATTTCGATTTATATCTATGTCTATACTAATAATCTCTGGAACTACTGTTCCGATTTGAAAAATTCTTTTTGTACATTATTGCCAGATTCATGAGATATAGGTTATTTAGTATTTAGGTACACTGTTTTTAATTCATAATTCTTTATTGCATTATTTCATTGTCACCAAGTATAAAGTTGGAACTATATTTTTACAGAACATGAGACAACTTGTACGGGCGTAGCATGTCAAGACAGAGTTTAAATTTTAATTAATATGGAATTCATTTAAATTACAGTATTTATAGTACACAATATATAAATTATTATTAATTAATTTATAAAATATCAGACTAAATAATACTCATACATTTATTTTAAAAATTAAATTTCAATAATTATTATATGTCAACTGATTGATCATTCGTCATTTATATTGAGTAAATAAAGTTTAAAACAGAGACTACAATATTATATACGGAAAGTTTAAAAATTTTGATGAAAAATACTAACAATGTCAAATATATAAATAGATATTAAAGAAAATTGTCAAATAATTAAAATTGATTTATAATTTATCATTAAAATATTCATTCAAACTAAAATATGTTTTACAATAAGCATTTTCTTATGTACTATTTCAAATTTACGACACTTTTTATTTAAAAACAGTACCAAATTTCATCCAAATCGTACGTGAGGTCAGTTTCAAAGAAACGAGTTAGGTAGGTACAAGGTACATAAAAAATATGTAAAAAAAGCTACAATGATTTAAGAAAAAATCTCAAACAGCGTCTGCTCATATTAACATTGAGGCCCATGGAGCGTTTTATATTTTAGAATAGTTTAAATTATCATAATCATATATTTAATGAAGTTGTTTATTAATTTTATATTATGTTATGTTTTTTTAAAAATAATATATAATTTATTTAATAAATGATCGGTTCAGAAGGGCTAGAATCCAGAGCCGTAAAGCCAGTTAAATAAAATAAAAAAATGTTTATTTGTAAGGCTCAGAGGAGCTAGAACCCAGAGCCGTAAAGGCAGTTAATTAAAAATGTTTATTTGTTTAGTTTTTGGTGGAAATTTGACCGTCACTTGGCCGTCGATAGATTGTTGCTCTAGTTTTATTGCTTAAATAATGGTTTGAAGTGGATTTAGATTCGTAAAAGTAATGTGATTTTGTGAATTAAGTGTCTGAACAAGTAAACTGTTGGAGAAAACGAAGAAACAAGTGCTCCGATGATGATATAAACCTCAAGTTATTTTGAACGCTAAAGCGTTTTATGAACTTGAGTGACTGTCGTCATCAACTATCCGTTGGGTTGAGCTGTCGTCAAAATCTTCCAAAAACTTTACAATGTGGCGCATCAGCATATTGTGAAGAAAAATCAATAAAGTTGAAGTTCCGAAAGAAATTATGGGCTCAGAAGGGCTAGAACCCAGATTCGTAAACCCAGTTAAATAAAAAAATTGTTTATTTGTTTGTTTTATTTATCTATGCTCCCCTTCAAGTCTGCTTGGTATTTATATTTTAAATAATTGTTTAAGTCAATTGATGATCGTTACACACAACCACAACACAGTTTTTAAAGTGGAAACCAATTGAAGCTATAACCTGTATATATAACTCTGCAGGATAATAGGTGTGTTATTTATATGATGTATATTAGTTTAAAATAAAAAATCTTAGTGTTATCAATGATGCTGGCTGTCCTATTAATAAATCGTATGAGTATGCGGCGAAGGGCCACCCGTCGATTGACGAAACCAAAAATATCGGAGAAAAAAGAACCTGAGATTTCGATATGTAGGACCTGTTTGAGCACTGAAAACCTAGTTCCAATTTTTGAAAGTGAGGAAATGGAAGAAAAGAGATCGGAGGAGTTCCGGCTGGTGACTGGCTTAGAGGTAATTTATGAATTCAATGAAGTAGGTACTTAAGAACCAGCTTTTGGCCATTTCATTTTCTGTTTATTTACTGTTAAATGTCTCAGCGCTTCTTTGATAGCGCCGATACCCATCCAAACCCGCTAGTGGCAAATGCAGCCAGCTACGTCCCAATAACAAACGTCGCGCCGATTCGTCCTAGACCGCATAGACACTTCATCATCATTACAGCCCTTCACAAGTCCACTGCTGAACATAGGCCTCCCCCAAGTAATGCCACAAAGCACGGTCCTGAGCCACCTGCATCCATCGACTTCCTGCATGTCTTACCAGGTCGTCACTCCATCTAGTGGGGGGTCGCCCTACACTACGCCTACCGGTACGAGGCTGCCACTCGAGAACCTTTCTTCCCCATCGGTTATTGGTTCTTCGAGCTATATGGCCGGCCCATTGCCACTTCAGCTTACTAATCCGTTGGGCTATGTCGGTCACTCTGGTTTTACTGCGGATATCCTCATTTCTGAGTCTATCACGCAGAGAAACTCTGAGCATAGCCCTCTCCATAGCTCGCTGAGCAACCTTAAGCGTCCTCATACGGCCAGCAGTGAAGGACCACGTCTCTGATCCGTAAGTCATCACTGGCAACACGCACTGGTTGTACAATCTAGTTTTTGGAGATTAAGGTATACCTGACGAAAAGATATGCCGTAATTTCCCGAACGCTGCCCAGCCGAGTTGAATCCGTCGATTGACCTCTCGGTCGAAGTTGGACTTACCTAGTCGGACTATTTGTCCCAGGTAAACGTATTCGTCAACAACTTCGAGCATAGTGCTCCCAACAACTACCGGCATAGGTGTGACATGGACATTGAACATGATCTTTGTTTTGTCCATGTTCATCTTAAGACCTATCCGTTGGGAGGCACTATTGAGGTCATTGAGCATAGTGCTTAAGTCCTCCAGCGATTCTGCCATAAGGACTATATCGTCGGCAAATCGAAGGTGAGTGATGTACTCGCCATTGATGTCAATACCGTATCCTTTCCAGTCCAGTAGCTTGAAAATGTCTTCCAATGCAGCGGTGAAGAGTTTCGGGGATATAACGTCACCCTGTCTTACACCTCTCTGCAGTTGGATAGGTTTCGAGCTCTGGTTCTGTACTCGGATAGCCATCGTAGCCCTACTGTACAAACACTTCAGCACTTCGATATACCGACAGTCAACTTGGCACCGCTGAAGAGACTGTAGCACCGCCCAAATTTCGACGGAATCAAAGGCTTTCTCATAGTCCACATACGCCAGGCAAAGTGGCAGATTGTACTCTTCAGTCTTCAGTACAATCTGCCGCAGGGTATGTATGTGGTCTATGGTACTGAAGCCTTTTCGGAAACCGGCTTGTTCGGGAGGCTGGAAGTCGTCAAGTCTGCGTGCGAGACGATTCGTAATGACTCTCGAAAACAGCACGTAGACGCGGCTCAGAAGGGAAATCGGTCTGTAGTTCTTTAAGAGAGCGTTGTCGCCTTTCTTAAAGAACAAGACCACCGCACTTCTGCTCCACGCCTCTGGAGTAGTGAGTATAGACACTTACCGGCACGGAAACTTGGCCACTCCTGAATTTGCTGATTATTTGCACTTAACATTTTTTTAACAGTAAATTAAGAGTAGATGGATTCAATAAGTGTCTCTAATGGTTTTAGAACATAGACATTTTAATGTTTGCTTCACCAAAATTTTTCTTTTCAGGATAACATGTTTTCACTAAAATTAACATCTTTCCATTGTCTTTAAAAATTAAATCTGCTTCTTTATTGTCTATTAGTTTTAATATCGGGTGTTTCCTCCTCTAGCCCTGATAACTGCCTGCATTCGATCTGGTATGCTTTGAATGATGTTTCTGACATTAACTTGCAGTATGCTGTCCCAAGCGGCCAGCTCTGCATTTCGAAGCTCATTTAGAGTTTGTGGCAATTTAGACTTTATCTTTCTTTAGAGCATGCCCCACACATACTCAATTGGACTTAAGTCCGGGCTACGAGCTGGCCTCTGTAATTTTTGTATTCCAACGTCTTCCAGATATTCCTCTACACAATCTACGACGTGTGGGCGTGCATTATCATGCATGAGGATGAATTGGTTGTGTCTAATGAATCCCAATAAGGCATTACATGCTCCTGAAGAACTTCCTCAATGTATTGAGTAGTTTAGTAGTAGTATTGACATGTTTTCTTGCGAACTGAAGTTGGGCTACTCAGTGCTGTCAGAAGTTCTGGACCTCAAGCTGGTCTACAAGCTTTTAAATTCACTTCCTCCATTTGTCTTCTCACCGTATGCTCATTTACATTAACACTTCTTGCGATTTGGAGCCACTGGCATATCTCAACAGCAGTCAGGTAGTGGTTTCTCAAAATCTCCAGAACAATAAAACAATGGTCCTGGACCGATGTGCACCTTACGCCCCAACATGCCTATTCTGTTCTGCTAACCACTTGGCAACTGATAAAAGTTGCCCTGAACATTCAAGACAAAAAAGGCATTAAACTGGTCATGTCCCAAGAAAATGTTTCATATCTAGAGGCATCTGCTCGCTTCCCTGCAGTTAGAAGACCTTACGCCGATGTAGCTGCATCTGTAGGGACACCTTCCCTCTCCTCCTCCCTCCACTTCATCTCAACAGGTATCAAGTATTCACCCTGCTCCTTCTGCCTCCCAATCTTATAGAAAGACTGTTTTCAGAAATAACCCAACTGGACCTGTTCCAAATTCTGTAGGCTATGATAAGGTAGCACACAACAATATTGTAAGAATCCCTACCTCTTCCCTTCCAATTGGTCATGCTCATTTATCCCCTAATGATAATCTCCTAAAAACCTTGTGTCCACCATCTCTGATATAATTGGCAAATTTGACGACATACACCTACCGTTTAACATGAGAAATAAACTTGATGTGCTCTTCCAAAAAATTTATAAAATTCAATTGCCTCCACATCCTTCAGTGGAATTGTCGGAGCATCAAGATCAAGAAATCTGAACTAATTAATTTGATAAATACTCATAATCCCTCAGTCATTGCTATTGCAGAAACCGGGCTAAAACCTGGTTGTAGATTCAGAAACCCTGGTTTTTCCTGCAGCCGTGATGACCGCAGCGATGGCTACGGCGGCACTATGATTCTTCTAAATAGAAATCGCTCCTCCTGCTTAATTCCCTTTCTCTCTCTTCAAGAGAATATTAATGCAATAGCTGTAAAAGCAATGGATGTCACAATTGTGTCAATATATATTTCCAATCCTACTCCTGCCTATATCCCAGAGCTTAACTTAATCCTGTCTAGTATATCTGATTCTTTTATTGTAATTGGAGACTTCAATAGTCATAACATACTATGGGGCTCTCATAAAAATGATTCTTTTTCCTTACTATTTATCGTCTTTAATAAATTTAATCTTTTCATTTTGAACAATTGGTCTCCCACTCGCATGGTCTAAGACAGAAGGCCGATTCTAAGACAGAATGTGAGGCTAATGGTAGACCCATTCCCACATCTAGTCTTTGTGCTAAATTACACTCTTCTGTTGTTAGAATCAGTATATCTTCATGCCGGTTCACCTCCTGAGTTACACAGCAACCTAGGAAGTGCATTTCAATTAGGATGCGTTGGGTTTGATCCGGTTTTTTATTATTTGGACTTGGTATCAGGAAGATGCTGCTGCCCATCTTCTGTTTCACTTTGTCACTGTTGCATCTTACGACACCCAAGGGCGATATGGGGTGGTGGGTATTCTTATACAGCCATTACACAGGAATGCAAGCATCACTTGCATAGAATTATTCTTTATTCTATTTGTAGATTTAATAAAAAGGTTTATGTTCGCTAGATGGAGTAATGACCTATTTGATTAGAGTAGAAATTGTCAATATGGAGGATGTTTTTATACAGAATTATTTTTAAAGTTTACATATGCTGTAAAAAACCCTGTGTTTTTGCACAAAAGTTTTGCATATTTGGGATTCTAATTTTATTATTACGATGTTACTTCTGTTATCACATAGCATGTGTCCCAAAATGAAACATTAAGCTGGCACCAGGGAGTGGACAAATTGATGACTACCTAAGAGAAAAACATCTGATTTTATTTTAAATTTATAATACCTTTTTTTTAAATACTTTAAAATTTGACACACCATATTGTATTTTTAGGTACTATGACTACCAATTTTGCAAATATGTAGCACAGTTATTTTTTTTTTGTATTTGCAACCTAAGTAGCATAGCTGTTTATGCCAGTTTCAAATAAATTGAAAATATCTGAAGTTTAACAAAAAGAAATTTAACTTAATTTTTTTCTTGCATGTTTGGAAAAATTTCACTTTTAATTTTCACTCATCACAGTATAAAAAAGTTTATCAACACTGCTATGGCAAGCTATTATAAAAGTTAGCTCAACTAATCAAGATCCTAAAATAATTTAGTATGGTTCCAAAAACCTATAGATCCATTAATCTCACATCCTTTCTCCTAAAGATGATAGAGGCGGTGCTAATGAACTGACTACTATACAACAAGCAACATACCTACAGCTTAGGCAAATCGATAGAATCGGCACTTCTTCAGATAATAAAAAGTATTGAAGAGGCCATCCAAACCAAAGAAGAAGAAGAGTTTAGTCATAAATTTGTCTACTCTCTGGTGCCCGCTTTACATTGAATTTTGGGACACGTTGTATATATAAAAGGTGTTCACCTCTTTCTGCATTGGTTAATAAGGGGGACAATTGAGACAAACCCTGTCTGCAATGGGGGAGACACATGGCCAGCTGCAAGCTTTAACTTGTTGATGAAGAACAACGAGATACATTGTTATAATTATAATTTTACATTGTATTTATGTGTACACTATTACATGCTGAAACATTTTTTTACTATTATAAGCCGTTTAACTAATATCCCATCTGATGGTAAGTAATAATGCAACTGAAGATGGGCGATGTGCATTGATTCAACAAACGCCTATTCACTCTTGCCTTGAGGACACTCACATAGTTAAAGTTAAAAGTTACAGCCTGTATCGTCCCATTGCTGGGCACAAGCCTCTTATTTCTGAGAGGTTTTAGGGCAAGAAAGTGATCGCCGAGCTGCCCCAATGCATGCTGGCGAACTTCACATGCCTCAGACATGCAGGTTTCCTCACGATGATTTCCTTTACCGCCGAGCACGCGGTAAATTAGCATTTAAAAATGCAATTAACAATTTCATTGGTGCCGGCGGGAATCGAACCCAGGTTGTGCTCGCGTACCGTGCAATTCACAGTGAGCGCTAACCATCTAAGCTCATTGTAATTGGATGGAAAGACATATGCTGGCAACTTTTTCCACTCCTTTGCTTTACGAATAACGAGACGAAAATATGCATTTAATATTTACTTCAAATTTAACTAATTTAGATTAAAAAAAGAAATGAAGGTAAAAAATTTAATTCAACAATATTTTTGAAGTCATACTTCCTCTATTTCATGTAATCGAGTACAGGAGGAGGATGGGGGTGAAAGAAAATCTCAATCATTTATTTCTTTTTAAATTTATGTTTACTTTGCGTTTAATTTTTGTCGATTTCGCAAAGCGACTGCGGCGATGGATGAATATAATTTTTAGAAAAAACCGAAGAAATTATTACACCCTGGGAGGTCGGGGATTAACCATTTTACAGGAGTCTCCCGGGCAATCTGGGAGGGTTGGGAACCCTAGTTATCAATCTTAATATCATAAAAATATTATAAAATTCTTTTATTTATTTCAGATTAAGTTAAACGATGGCTTGTCTCAGAAAATCTGCAATCACTGCATTGAATTTGTGCAAGCAGTGTTACAGTTTAGGAGGAAGAGTAGGAAGGCAGAAAAAGCCCTCCTTAACATGACATCGGGTGTGAAAGTGAAGAAGAAATACTCCAAACGGAAACATAATCTAAGAAAGAGTCCAAGAATTGAGAAAGGTAAAGCCGAAGTGCTGGTAGAAGACTGTTCTTATGATTTCTTTGATGCTGATTATTCAATGGACTATGATTGTTCTGCGGTTGAGGATGAGATTAAACCAAAAGTAAAAGAGGTAAATTTGCTTACTGTTGTTTTACTAATGTCCTCCAGACTGAATTTCTGTCAAGACAACCAGTCTCGACAGAGGCTTGTGGTCAGCGCAGAACAGATTAAAGTGCACAAGTTAGTTCCCAATCACAGGTGCATGTTCCATCCTCACACTCTCAGTTTAATAGGACGGCATTGATTGCTGTCCATGGATGACCAGAGAGAGATTGGGCACAAGATCAACGTTTACATGCTCTCTGAGGCACGGAATGAAACATCGCCAACTTCCTGACTCCAGAGCATTACTGAGAATTTTACTGCTAACAAACTAATTCATTGATTTAGGCAAGAGATAATTTAAACCTGGGACCTCAAGATAGTAATAGCCCTTCTGACACCAACGAAGCGGTGATAACTATTAGAAAGGTGTGAGTGTGAGAATTATATTAAGCACAACCCACCCCTAAGCACATGCCGTGTAGTGACGCCCTTTAGGTGCCCTTTATGTGCTTTAGCACAGTTTAGACCTTACCGTTGTGAAACGCCTTTGATGTCAAGCGATGTCACCACCTGCGTAGGTATTTATGTGGCAGCGTGTATGCTAGGGGTTGTTACGAAAATGGAAATAAAATAATTTTGAATATTATCATTTATGAACTTTATGTTCATATTTATATGTTGAAATATTTATTGAACAAGATCATTTACGAGTATTGCACTGACATATATTTTCCTGACACTTTTATAGATGTTTTCAGTTTTCGATTGTTAAATTTAATTATATAGTGTATTCGCGTTTGGATAAACAATTTTATCAAAACTACGAGGGAAACACATTTTTACGTGTTAGACCCATGCTGCAGTTATATTAGTAGTATAGTTGTAGCACGAATGGGTTGGCTCGACCGGGGGAGGACCATGCTCTCACAGAATACCAGCGTCAAATGGTAGCTTAATGCTGCTGTGTTTCGTATGGTGGTGTAGAGAACCGGAGACCCTTTTTACTGAAAACGAAGCATTCCATCTAAGTCCTCACGGGTGACAACGCTTCTGCATTTTGATTCGTAATCGAGGATAGATGTAGATGTCTATGGGCTGCAGTAACCACTTACCATCAGGTGCATTGTGTGTTCGTTTGTCATCCTATCCTATAAAAAAAATAACAAAAGCATGGCCATCATTTGAATTTTATTTTACTGAGCTATATATATTATAACTATAACAGTAGTTCACCATTATAGATATTATATTTTTGGAAAATTGCACTTAAAATTAATTAAATAGGTACTATAAACCACGCTCGCGCCAACCGCATGCATAGCCGCACGATAAACAATCAGAATCAGTGAAGTGCGCTAGCACAAGGTCCGCCCGCCCTCTGTCCCTCAGTGCCCCCACCGTTGTTCTGCATAAGTACGTTCCTTTCATGGTGTCAGAGGCAATAGAAGGGAATGTAACAGAAGATAAATAAGTAATAAAAAACCGTCAGTCACTGGCCAATGCATGGCAACTGTGGTAAATATCCCCAAGCTATTTAAGAGGCCTATGTACAACAGAATATTTTTGATAGGTTGTAATTTATGAAGGAACAACATTGCCTAGTCAGTACGGGAGGGGTTTGAACCTGGCTTGCTCGCATACTTCTTTACAGACTTCGACAGCTTATTTGGTCTACTGGTTGTAAACGCGACGCAATCATGTGGTCCTGAGTTTGAAAGTTTGAAGTCGTGTCAAATTATTGGGCCATTCTGTCTAGATGCTTTTCAGTATTAGCCCAGAGTGAGGAAGTTAGCCCCCGTGAATCCGAATTCTCTCCGGTAGTGTCGTATTGCCCTCGTATCTGACTAGAAGAGTGAGTGAACAGTGAGTGCACCTGTGTTTGCTCACACACTCATGCACTATAATCCAGAGACTGCTAGGCTCCTTTGACATTATTGTTATTATCTTACTAACCGAATCCTTACCCTCTTATAGCATTCTGATTTTCAGTCAAAAGCAGCGATCACCAAAGTAAAGAATGGCTCGGCGTCCAATGTGTCCTCATACCAGTGCGGGTTCTGCAGCAAGGAGTTCCGCATGAAGGCGACGTACAAGGCCCATATGAGGTTCCACACCAACTACTGTGTGTGTGAGGTTGGTCTGTAGTGCAAATTATTATTGCTTTAATCCAGAACTGAAGTACCGACAACCGATGGGGAAGAAAGGTTCTCGAGTGATAGCCTCATACTGGCAAGCGAAGTGTAGTTTGGCCTCCACTAGATAGAGTGACGACCTGGTAAGACATGCAGGAAGTTTTTTTACGTGGTAGAGCCATGCTGTAGCTATATTGATAGTATAGTTGTAGCACGAATAGGTCGGCTTGACCGGGGAAGGACCACGCTAACACAGAATACCAGCGTAAAATAGTAGCTTCATGCTGCTGTTTCGTATGGCGAGTGTACAGAACTGGAGAACCTTTTTACTGGAAAGAGGTATTCCATCTTAGTTCCATCTTACGGGTGACAACACATCTCTATTTTGATTTGTAGTTGAGGATTGATGTAGATGTCTGTGGGTCGCAGCAACCACTTACCATCAGGTGAACTGTGCTCGCTTGTCAGCCTTATTCTATAAAAAAAAAGAAAAAAGTTGATGGATGTAGGTGGCTCAGGAACGAGCTTTGTGACATTATATACGTGGTAGAGCCACCCTGCAGCTATATTATGGTTGTAGCATGAAAGGGTCGGCTCGACTAAATATCAAAGCTGACAACGAATGTGTAGCTCTCTTTGTTCGAACAAAACTCCGCCTGTGGCTATTGCAGTCCTTAGACTGGACTGTAATAGCCACTTACCATCAGGTAGACTGTATGCTTGTTTGTCACCCTGGTTCTATAAAAATAGTTCGCGCTTTGCGGCACCTTTGGTGACCAAAGGGGGGTCTGAGGTGTTAACGAAGGCTACCTTACAGTAGTAGACTTGGGCTTGGATTTGATTTTATTAATTACTAGCTGGTTCCCGGCGCATTCCGCAGAAGAAGCAGTTGTGGAAATATCGTTTATATGGAAAAGTTACGACTTTCAAATAAATTTGTCGGTATGATATGCGTGCAACCTACTGTAAATTAATTGTGCTATGTACTAACCTTCGCGCAAGCGCAAGTAATAAGCTGCCTAGTTTTACCGCAGTCTAACGAACGGTATGGCAGCGCATAAAAACGAACAAAAAAATAAGAAGAAACCAGTGGTTTGGTTTCACTTATAGAACGTAAATTCAATGAATTTAAAAAAAAAAACGCTATTTTCTTTCATAAATTTAAAAAAGTTTCTATCCGACACCGTCCGTAAATTCATGGATACCCTATACGCCCGAGTGACGTAATCACTGTAAAGATCACCGCCCGCGCTAGCTACCTACACAGCATTCCAATAAAAACACAATAGGTACACATAACCTGTGATGTAACATATCCTTCATACTTTCATCCTGGCTTAGGACAGGCAAAAATTGAGATTTTACTAAAAAAAATGTTATTATTTTTAATTGAATTTACGTTCTATAAGTGAAACCAAACCACTGGTTTCAAGGATAACGGTGTTTACACTAACACTCTGTATATTATATGGGATCCAAGCACATGGTAGGACTTAGCCACCTTCTCTATTTTAGTTTAGGTTCGAATCCTCCTTGGTAGGAAACGGTGTTATTTCGATCTGGACGATATTATTATTGTTATAAAGAAGGTCCATATAAGAGAGGAAACGTGTATCCGCTATTCTAACTCTCCGGTATTCGGCCTTTCTGGCTTAAATTACTATCCGGCCGAATACCGAATACAAAAACGGCTATCCGGATTTAAAAAAATACAAAATATCAAATTTAGTTAGGTACTTTATTATATAATTAACAAATATAATCAGTAATCGTAAAATTTTCATTTTTAAATTTAGGAAATTATTACTCTTACTGCACTAACAACAAATTATGTTAAAAAAATTTTCTTTGCATTGAAAGATAACAAGCGGTTTCGCCTGCCTTCATAAAAAGGGCCAGCTTCAGAAAAATGTCTCGCTGTACACACTGCTCCAGGGTACTGCAAGATAGATTATCATTAGTTGCTCACCAAATATAAGGGTCACGATCGCGAACAATTTGCACTGACTTTACTTTTTGCTTCTAGCGATACACCAAACGACAATGTTCGGCACTATATCCGTCGACCGGATATCCGACTATCCGGTAATAAGCATTACCGAATATCCGGCTTACGGCCAAAAAGATATCCGTTAAATCTCTAATCAACATTGGTGATTTGTCTGCAGTCTTGCGGCAAGAGGTGCCGGAACAACAACCAGCTGCAGGAGCACAAACGCGCGAGACACGGCCTTGGACGTATACACAAGTGTGCCTACTGCGACTACACCTCCGCCACCAAGGAGGCCCTCACGGTAATGCCAGCACCACTGTACAATCTGTTTTTAAAACATCTGAATACCAGTTACCATTTCCGTGTTGAAGATTTTTTTATTTTAGAATAAGGTTAACATACATAGAATACTATAATACACAATAGAATGGCTGTTAACCTTATTTTGTACGAGGGTCGGCGTCGCTGGGAACAAACATACAAGCAATTACGTCGTATTATCACTACTACAAACTCGATTTGCTGTGTTGATAGACTGAGTAAATTTAAACATTTTAGACTTTTGATTAATGTTCAAAATCATCATTTAAAAAATTGTTTAAATTTTAATACATATTTATTTGTAAATAGTGTGCAATTTGGCATTTTCTAAATAATTTGCATGCGAAATTTGGAAATGATTGTAACGTCAAAACACACCTCGTGTTGACATTTATACGTGTGAATTGACGTGTTAGTGATATTTTAGTGGCTACACGGGCTCGGCCCACTCCCCCGTTCTATTATGTATGTATTATAGTGTTCTGTGGTAATATACGAGCAATGAGTTCTGATGGTAAGTGGATGCTGTGGCCCATAGACATCTACATCGATCCTCGATTAAGAATCAAAATACAGATGCGTTGTCACACGTGAGGACTATGATGGAATGCCTCGTTTCCAGTAAAAAGGGTCTCCGGTTCTCTACACTCACCATACGAAACACAGCAGCATTAAGCTGCTGTTTTACACTGGTATTCTGTGAGAGCGTGGTCCTTCTCCGGTCTCCATCGTTTCGACATAACAAATTGTGTGCAAATGAGTTACGTGATTACTTTTATACGCATCAACGATTATACACGGTCACCTAAAATACAAGGCCGTGTCCACGATATTGTCATTCCCCCATTTTTTTTTTCCTTAATAAAGGCAATAACTTTAACTTTACTTTATTAAATAAAGGAAACGGTATTAAAAGTAACTTACTAAATTGTAACTAAATTTAATCTTGTGAGGTTATAAACGAACATACAATTTGCAAATCAAAAATATTTTAATTTAATTTAAATTTTTTATGATCGAAAGAAAGTTATTTATAAACGTTTGAATAGTAATTCTGATAACGCACTTAACGAGAACCACAGGTTGTTTGTTACATGTTGTATGTATAAACCGACTCCGTAATGAGATATCAGCAATAGAATCACACATACCCCAACAGATCTGAAGTAGCAATGGGCCGGCCATATAGCTCGAAGAACAACCGATGTGGAGAAAGGTTCTCGAGTGAGCAGCCTCGTACTGGTAAGCGAAGTATAGGGAATTAGTAATGGGCTGTAATAATGATGACAATGGCAATGATTCTAGAAAAAGATGTAGGACTGTATCAACAGATCACCGTCCGCAGATTCACGAGAGACGTCACACTGGTGAGAGGCCTTACGTGTGCGACCACTGTGGCGCCACCTTCCATAGAAGGTCGAACCTAGTCCAGCACATCGCTATACACCTGCCCGAGAAGAATTTCCAGGTGAGTCCCACTGCGTACTTCTTCCATAGGATTTCACATTTTTAAATGTCTTCATTGATTTAAAAAGTAAAGATGCAGTCGTCCGAACATTTGCCTGATGCGTTTTTCATTCTAGAAGAAACTAGCGCCATCTGTTAGAATTAATTTGAACTATGATATGATCCATCGGCGTGAGCTGTCTAAAAGACGCCTACAGATCCCACGCAACCACAGAAATCGTAATAATAAGACAATAGAAGTCGCATAGACGCGTGACCTTGTCGCCGCTATGATGTGTTGACGAACATCATTATCAATATTGTGAGTTAGTTGAGCGGGGAACGACGTACGTGAATTTACGTTATTATAAATTTATAATGATGAACTGCAGTATAATTAGTAGTAAAAAAACATCAAGGACGTGTAATTGAAGTAATAAAGTAATAACATTTCATCGGTAAGTTGATTATTTACTAATTATCATTGTTTCACTATCATTTCCTTTAGTAATGTAGGTAAATCCGAAATCCAAACATTGGTCGTCATATTTTCTATAATTCTTCTGTTTTTCTGAAGTTTCTTTACTGCTATCTCCTGAGTATTCAGTTATTTTCTACTTCTTTGAATAAAATTATCTATCGTCAGTATTGAAACTCCGTGTAATTAAACAAAACAAAAGCTTGACTGACTAAAACGATATGAATACGTAGAAGAATGGGAAACGCGCGGAGAGGTCGACGCCGGCCGCCCGCGACTCTGCTACGGGACGTCAGAAACAGAACTAGGGTGTGAGGAAAAGCATCAACAATCGATTTTTGCAGCATTGATTTTTTCGTCCTATTTTTTTTAATCGATTTTCAGAGAATCGACTTTTTTAAGAAAAATAATCGATTTTGTAAAATAAAACGATTATTTGTAAATTGACTGAATGAAACATATCACTTTCGTTTTATTATTGAAAAAAATCTTTGGAAAAAGTAGAAATTAAAGGAAAATCAATATAGTTTTCTCATCTGGTTGGGTTCTATAAATATATAATTTTAAATGAAAATGAAAAGATAAATATACATAAATATCAATAAAATTAAATAAATATAAAAATACATAAATAAATAAAAGCCCAACCAGATGGAGGCGCTCGGCAGGGGAGACCAAACGGCCGAGGGTTAGGGGGAAAGGAAAAGAAACCGGCGGACGATGCGGGCGGTGTCGAGGAGCACTGCCTTCTGCATTTGAGCCTGAAGCGGTCCGCCACGTAGTGCCAGCCGCCTCAGATGACCCGAGAGGCTGACTGGGATTAGCCCGTTTGCAGAGACGACTACAGGAATAATTTCGGTCGGCAGACCACCCCACATGTCGGTCACCTCGTGAGCCAGGTCCAGATATTTTGTTCGTTTATCTGTTTCGGCTTTCACGAGGTTCTCGTCATATGAAATGGTAATGTCGACCAAAAATATCCTTGACTGTGCCCGGTCCATCAGCACAATATCAGGCTTATTCGCAAGAATAGTCATGTCTGTGATGATGGCCCGGTCCCAATAGAGCCTGGCGCGATCATTTTCGAGCACGGTTTCCGGCAAGTACTTGTAATACGGCAATTTACGATCCACGAAACCGTATTTCATAGCGAGCTCCTGGTGAAGAATTCTGGCTACTAGGTTGTGTCTGTAGGCATGTACTAAGAGTTAGAAAGCGCCGAACAACCGGAGATGACATGCCTAAGTGACTCACCGGGATGGCGACAAGCTCGACAGATGTCGACGGTGCCATCCTTTAAGATGTATCTCCGATAGTTGTTGGTCTTAATAACCTGATCTTGTATTGCACAGACAAAACCCTCGGTTTCCCCGAAGAGGTCACCAAAGCGTAGCCAGTGGAGGAAGGCTACTGTGTCTACGAAAGGCTCATGTAGAGCCTTGTAGAACCTCCCGTGGAGCTCCTTCTCCTTCCATACAGTCTCCCGATCGGAAATGCTCTGCACTGCCGGGTCTTGCTATTGCTCGTTGGCTAAGGATAGAGGGGTAAGTCCTTTATCACAAGAAATGACGTCCTTATAGAATGGATCATCCGATCTTGCCAGGAAGTAATCACGGAGGCTGCACACTTCGCGATTATGCATGGTGAGCGCGCTCAGGAAGCCACGCCCACCATGCTTTCGCGGCAAGTACAGCCTCATTACCGACGATCTCGGATAATGCATCCTATGGGACGCCATTGTAGTGCGGACTTTTCTATCCAGGGCGTTAAGTTCAGTCTGAGTCAACCTGAGTATGCCAAAGGTATACATGAGGACAGGCATGACCCAGCCGTTATATGCGTGTGCCTTATTCACACGGGACAAAAGGCTGTTAAGCACTTTGGTCAAGCGTGTCGCAAACTGACTGTTTCATACCAGCCTCATCGATACCCATGTTCTGTGACATACCCAGGTATAGGTATGTTTCAGCCTCGGAAAGGGTTCTTAAGTTAACGGGCATAGATAAGTCTATGCCCTCAGAGTTAGCAACCCTTCCCCTTTTAACATGGAGGACCTCACACTTATCCGTCCCCAGCTCCATTCCAATGGAATTGCTAAATTCACAAGTAATGTTTAGCTATTCCATAAGATGGGAGCGACTGGGGGCGAATAACTTGAGGTCATCCATATAGAAAAGGTGGGTCACTTTTGTCCCTCCTTTCCGTAGCTGAAATCCCCTCCCGGAGCCCTCCAGTAAGGTACTGAGAGGGTTCAGAGAGAGGCAGAACCAGATTGGACTCAGACAATCTCCCTGGAAGATATTCCTTCTTATCCTTATGTGGTTCTCCACAGCCATCATCCGCTCGCCCAGATGACAAAGGATCGTACTCCCCTGCCCCATACACTGCTCGAGGAAGTCTCTAACTGTACAGTCTATCTTCTACAGCTCGAGGACTCTCTTTAGCCATGTATGGGGCACCGAGTGGAATGCCTTTCCGTAGCTATCCAGGCGGCGGAGAAGTTCCGACGGTTGCGTTTCACCACTTTGCCAATGACCGCGTCAATGAGGAGTGGTTCCTTGGTTCCACTACCGCCGCCCCGACATCCATTTTGAGCGCGCGACATCACCTGATTTGAGTCCAGGTGACGAGTGATTTTCGCACTCAAAATGGATGTTAGTCTTGTACGAGTATATGGTCGGCAGACACGTGATGGGGCGGTATTTGCTCGGGTCTGTGGTACCCTGGTCTTTAGGAACCAAATGGGTGATCCCAGTAGTGAAGAGGCTCGGGAGCGACTTCTGGTTGAGAGCCTCTTGATACTGTCGGGCGAGCACATTGCGACACACCACGAACCCCTTCAGCCAGTAGTGATGTAGCCCGTCGAGTCCCGGAATTTTCCAGTTCGGGGCCCTACGGACCACCTCAGCTTCGTCATCCGGTGTTATAATGACGGGGTCCATGGGCGTTATACTCGTACACTGACTCGCCACAACTTCCGTCCAAGGGCCCTCGCTGTGGTTTACGGGCTCTGACCACAAGCCGCGCCAGAATGCTATAGTGTCGGCCTGATTCGGTGCTGGGCCCGTTCCACTTACCATTGGTCGCTCCAATGATTCGTAGAGCCTCTTCTGATCACTCTGGAAGAGACGATTCTGGTTGAACCGTGTCGACCTCCCGGTATATCGCTGAATCCACTTTCCCAAAGCAGCGATTCTCTGCTTCAGATCATCTATGCGCTCCTTCAGTTTTTGCGTTATATCCGGACAGTAGTAGTAGTAGTATTAGAATGACAAACTGACATTTGTCCCAGCAAACGCCATCCTGAAGTTGCGCACTATTCTTGGCCTGTTATTGCCTGATCTGAAGCATATCTGCCGATGAGAGCTCTAGCCTTTACGATACGTTCCTCAATTCTTCTTCTCCATGCTGGAATAGCGCTACTTTGGCCAGTAGCGCGTCCAGCCGTGGAAACCTTGGCGCCTATGATACGGCAGACTGCCAGCGCGGCGCCAAAAAGAATTGACTCCGTCTCGCAAAGGTCCCGGCTGGCTTCCAAATAGGTCACCAGTATTGGGTTCAGAGCCCTCACGACAGCCCGATTCCGCTTGCTTAGGGCTATGCGGGGAAGTCGCGGTCGATTTTCAAGAGGCGTACTGCGCGTTTCCACATTCGCCTCTTCCAATGTACTCCTCATATGCTTTAATTCCAGTTCCTGGGCGACTGTTACATTGTCGTTTGAATCAACCACAACTGGGGTATTTACGGCGGTATTCACGTTTGCGGGTTGCTCTGCAATTTGTGGCGCCGTATACTCAGCCGTAGCATTTTCATCCGATGAGGGAATAGCCTCACGTCGTCGTAGCCGTTCGAATTCGGCGACATCAAATATATTTGAGCGCAAGATATACCGATCTCGGTCTGCCAGGTTCCTCTATGACGGTTAAAGATGGCTCCAGCTCAGCAAAAAGACGATGCATCCTAGCCCGATACGCCAAAAGTACACCCGCAGTGCGTTTGCGTTCATTGTTTGTGACCAACGCATGCGACGTGCTCCACCAGCGGCGGATGCCGCTTGCTGAGTTCGAGAAGACCCAGCCGACACCTAGCCTTCTGGTGGGGATAATGGATGCGGAGGGCTGCTAGGTGACCGTGCAGCTCCTCGAGCTCGGCTGGCGGCCCGCATGCTGCCGCGTCCAGCGCCTGCTCCAGACGCGCCCCGGCGACCCCCAGGCAGCGGCCCTATGCGTCTCTTTGTGCCATCATCCATTTGGTGGGCGCCAAATAACGGGAGACGCCCAGGCCCGGCACCGTTTCGTGGTTGAGTATGCACAAACGGACCTTTGCACCCACAATATTGCCTAGGCCTTTTTATTTTAATTTATTATTATCATTTTACTTCATTCCTTATAGACATTATTTTTATTTATTTCTTTTAATTCTTTTGTTTGTTGGTTGTTTACTCTACATTTCTTTCTTAAATGTATGGCCGTAATTGCGATTGCTAATCACGAGGTCCCTAACGTACATGTAAAATATTATGATGGAAAATGTAATTCACCAAAATCATACAAATTATCAACAACGTGACTTTTTTCTTTGTAAAATGTAAAAAATAAAGCAGTGAGGACGTCTTGAGAATTTACCTGTGAAATGTACAATTATTAGGAATCTTTTTATTTGCAGTCACAAAACAAGTTGGCATTGTTAAAGAATTACATAAAATTCAAAACTCAAAACTATTTTAGTACCTAAGAAGATCATTCCTTGCGTGCCGACTTGTACTGATTCAAAACAGTCACAGTCATGAGATAAGCTATTCTTTTTTATATTGCAATAAGGAATTTTCTTCTCCCTTGCACACTATGGCCGTCTATATATTCCAAGTCTATAAATTTACTACCTGCTCGGCGGTGAAGGAAAACATCGTGAGGAAACCTGCATGTCTGAAAAATAAGAAAAAAAAATATTTCGATAACATGTGAAGTTCGTCAACACGCATTGGGAAAGAGCGGCGGACACTTCCTTGCCCTAAAACCCTCTTAGAAATAAGAAGAGGTCTGTGCCAGCAGTGCGACGATATAGACTGTGACATTCACTTTAACTTCTTTCTTCTAATTGTGTTATAAAAAAAATTAAAACACACGTGTCAATCGTTCATTTCTAGTGACCCGTTCGTTCACGTATTGATTGGTCTTACGAACCGGGTCTTTCGGTTTGATCGCTCAAATTAATTTCACTGTTTATTATTACATAATGTTCTAAACTTTAAAATGACGAATCATTCACGAGTGACACATGCCTACCACGGCCGTGTCCCCGACACAGCCATCCTGATCTTTTCAAATTTGATCATGTCCAGTGCGACCTGTGCCCGAAGCGGCTCAAGTCTCGCAAGTTCCTGCAGATCCACAAGCACAACGCACACACCGGGAAGCGATACGGATACCTGTGTCCCGTGTGCGAGCACCGCTTCGAGAAGCCTAACAAGGTGCGTGCTCACACCAGAAGAGTGCACGGACTGCCCGACGACAGGCAGGGTCCTATCGTCAGAGTGCAATTGTGAGGGTAAGCTCATCATGTCAAGTAATTTGTATTGCCGTGCTCGTACTATAACTGTGGTCAAATTATTTTATTTTATTGAACCCGACGAATATATATATATATATATATATATATATATATATATATATACATATATATACATATATATACATATATACACACACATATATATATATATATATATATATATATATATATATATATATAATTTAGATTTACTTTTTTTGTTTGAAAGGTGACTTCATCGAGAGTGTTCTTAGCTATGATTCAAGACAATCTTTTCAGCCGTTTGAAGATCATCAGCTCTTTAAGTTTTGGCGGGTTTTTAAATTTTAATTAAATATTATTTATTTCATAAGCACACTTGCAATATGCGTATTAAACATTAACACTGAATTATACAAAGAGCAACACGCTCATTTGTATATCAATAAGTGTACATAACATTCCTTGGTGAACAAATATATGTAAACATTGAAAAGGAAATAATAAAATAAATCTATATTTATACATCTATATAAAAAAATTAAATTTGTGTTTGTTATGTCAAAATAACAGCTTTTTACTTAATGCTTATATATGTACGGTACCATATAACAAAAAGACAATTTTGACGGGACTTTTATTGGCAGATAGCTAATGTTATGAGGAGTAACTTAGGCTACTTTTATTTTTGAAAAAAAAAATGGTTTCCGCACGAGAAACAATTCAAACCCATTAAATCCAATCGTAATAAATTCCGCGCGGTCTAAGCCGCAGGAAACAATTAGTTTTAATATACGAGGGTGGATTGAAAAGTACTCGGCCTAATCAAGAAAATAAACACATACTAAATCAGTTATATTTTTATTTTTCTACATAATCACCATCAAGTTCAATACACTTTTGCCACCTCCCCTTCCAAGCATTTAGACCGTTGAAAAAAAATGATTCTTCCTTAGAGTCAAATATGCGTCTACAGCTGCTTTGACCTCGTCGTTTGTCGAAAATCTTTGACCTCCCAAGTGCTTTTTTAGGTTAGGGAACAGAAAGAAGTCTGATGGTGCCAGATCAGGTGAATACGGCGGATGCGGTAACAGTTCAAAGCCACAGTTGTGAATTTCAGCCATTGACTGTACTGACGTGTGAACACGGGCGTTATCTTGATGAAACAGGACTTTTCTTCTGAGCATTCCTCGACGTTTTTCTTTTATTTCCTCTCGTAAACGACGTAGTAAGGTGCAGTAGTAATCAGAGTTTATAGTCTGACCCCTTTCAAGATAATCAATCATAATCACACCTTTCGAGTCCCAGAATACTGAAGCCATCACCTTATTTGCCGACAAAATCGACTTAGCCTTTTTAGGGGTGGTGAACCAGGTCTTCTCCACTGTTTTGATTGTTGTTTTGTTTCCGGTGTACAGTAATGAACCCATGTTTCGTCCATAGTAACAAAACGATTCAAAAAATCATCTGCATCGGCTTCAAATAACTCCAAACAGTCGCGTGAAATAGTCAATCGCGTCCTTTTTTGTTCAACTGAAAGCAGTCGCGGAACCCACCTCGCAGACACCTTGTGGAAACCCAACTCGTTGACAATGATGTTTTGAGTTCGTTCATAAGAGATGCCTATAATCTCGGCTATCTCTCTAATTTTAATCTGCGGTCTCCCATTATTAAATCAAGTACTTTTTTAATATATTCGTCAGTAGTTGACGTCGAAGGCCTTCCAGAGCGGGGTTCATCTTTCACACTCTCTCTACCACGCTTAAATTCTGCTATCCATTTTTTGACGGATGAATATGACAGAGCACAATCGCCTAATGTACTGACCATGTCATCATGGATGGCTTTTGATGATAGCCCCTTCTTATGGAGGTACTTAATGACGGCACGCTGCTCGATTTGCTCCATTCGCGGAAATTGTGTCCGATTACTTTGTTAATAAATTTATAAAATCACAACTAATTATCGCACACGTTTCGAACTTCACACAATGAACTAGTCTGAACTGAACTAAATAATGTGGGTAGATTTGATTTTTAGAATTGAATGGATCTGTGTTAGGCCGAGTACTTTTCAATCCACCCTCGTATTTTCCTTTATGGGTGTACTGGAAGATATTTCAGCAAATTATGGAATAAGTAGAACCTTTGTACGAGCTTACAATAAAACTGTTTCTGTATCTTGTACATATCTTTATCTTCATCTTTCTTTATTTTTAGATTTTTTAAACGTTACCTTCACACTGTATGACCTTTTTACCGCTTGGAAAAATATGGTGTAACATGTGAACGGAGTAGAAGCCTATGGCACTAGTATTTTACAAGAAATAGAAACAAAAATTTTGAGTTAAATAAATAATTAAAATCTATCGAAATTCAAACCATATCCAATCTACTTTACGAACGGCGATAAAACAATAAATTTAGTAAACAACTTCGACGTTGTCGTTTCGCAGGGTCACATGCACAATGGCAAAGTAATTTTTTAAAACATTTTTTTTCAAAGATTTCATTATGATTTGCGTATATGAGAGCCATGGTAGCTTGCTGACGAGGATGCGTTCTAGCGAATCGTATGTTTATTTTTATACGATAAGAGTGACAAACGAGCACACAGTCCATCTGATGCTGTGTCCAATACACATTACATCTATCCTCGATTATGAATCGAAATGCAGTTGTCATCCGTGAGAACTAAGAAGGAATGCCTCGTTTCCAGTAAAAAGTGTTTCCAGTTCTCTACACTTACCATACGAAACACAACAGCGTTGAGCTGCTGTTTTACGCTGTGAAATGCTTTTCAAGAAGGATTGCAATATCGAGGATATCTATTTGGTGCTGATAGAGGAACCGATTTAAATTTCTTCCGGCCTCAAGGTAGAATAAAAGAAAAAACAAATTACAAAAAATATTAATTACAATGAATAAAAACTGTACGATGTTTGTTACAGGAGTGATTTAATGGTTTGAGGTCATCGTATGGTCCGTGGGAACTTGGAAGCACCGCGGTGGCTCGATGATGTGTTGCCGACTTCTTTTTTAAAACATTACCTTAGGCAGTTTACATACATTAACTGCACGAGGACAAACATCCATGACCCGAAACAATTATTTGTAGGCCATACAAATATTTGTTCCCTGCGGAATTTAAACCCGCCGGCCCTTAGCACTGCAACTCATTGCTAAGCCACTACGCATGGAGCCGACAAAACTTATACCTCTAGGGATACACTTATACTTAACAAGTTGGTAAACAATTTTATTTATGTTGTTTGTTACAGGTAGCCACATGACATATCGAAGAACTGAACGTGGCTGCAATTCCAAGCTCGGCGTGGGGTTTTGTCACTACTCGTGGAGAACCGTTGTAAAATGCAGCATTCATACGCTGACGACAAATGAAAACCGAAAATCCTATCGTCGGCGAGAGCATTTCATAACGCAACTTGGCGTCTTCAAGGAGTCATCAACTTCCTGATGCGGTGTCAATGAGCTGGGAATTATTTTACGTCGAAATACACCACTAACTTGAAGTGCATTGTAAAGTGTGCAAAAAATGATTATACATTTAATAAATAATTTAAAAAATTTATATTTAAATTATTAAAATTTTAATTAGTGACCTTGTGACCGCCATTTTATCGAATTCCCTTGTATGAAGTAATATTAAAATGGCGCCGAGCATAGAACCTGTCACCAATTGTTTTTCATCAATTTAACTTTTTATTTACTCGATACACTTATGACACAGTTTCCTTGTCCGCGAACCAGAAACAATAGTAAACCATCGAAATGTTCATACATGATTTATGGGAAAGGGTTAAAGTACATACAGCTACTAGCGGAGTGACGCACTTGTAGACAGTGAACTTGCGACTGAACCACCAGTATATAGCATCATAATAATATAGCAGTTCTTTTTATAGTGTCACATCGTATTAACACTGAGGGAGTCGCGTCTTAATTTATAGCGCAAGAATCACTCCGGGGTCCACTAGACCCATTATAATATCGTAAACATATTCCAAGACTGCTTTATAAACTGTGTTTACTAAGATACATAAGAATAACATAAGAATGCGATACGTGTAAGAAAAATATTGTTTAATCCAATACTTATATTTAATGTTTCAACTTATACAAAAGCTGTTACAAAAATATACTAAATTTGTCCATAGTTTTGTGACAAGTTTTGGGCATATCGTTACAATTTCTACAATTACTTAATTCGAACAAAAACTGAAATAAAAAGGGATCAATCATCATAGAATTTTTTTAAAAACAAAAATACAATATCTTCTTCGAAGTAAAATCACACTCATTCATTCTACTGACACTTTTTAAACTAACCGACAGTCAACGTCGTCATGGGCTGTCATGTGTCATGTCATGTTACTGTCGTTGACAGGTACAAAGGGCGGCGACTTTGCAAACGTTGAATTGTAATAGTTATATAGCAATATATTAAGGGCTGAGTTTGTTGGACCCATTAACGACTCCTTGAGTGTAAAGTAAAGTTATAGCATATATACGTCCCACTGCTGGGCACAGGTCTCTTAATTCTGAGAGGGTTTTAGGGCAAGGAAATGTCCACCGCGCTGCCCCAATGTGTGTTAGTGGACTTAAGATGTTTTCGAAATAGTTTTCTTATCTCAGACATGCAGGTTTCCTCACGATGTTTTTCTTCACCACCGAGCACGTGGTAAATCAGCACTTAAAATTGCAATTGAAAATTTCATTGGTGCTGGCAGCGTTTAGCTCCTCAACTTCTTAATATTTTTACCTGTCTTGCATAATGATTTTATGATTTATTAAGTTAGTTTAGTAAACTCTAGTCCTGATAAACCATTTGAACCAGGTGAGTCATTAGTCAAAAGACGATTACTATACGGTTAAAAATAATTGTAACTATCAGTATTGTGTACATATTTTTCTGATTAAT